AAAAAAAAAAGATATTGCATGCAATCGGAAACCAAAAGAAATGGGGTAGCTATGCTTCAGACAAAATAGACTTGAATGCAAGGACTATAATAAGACACGGCAAGATCCGTATTAAACAAATGGGTCACTTTGTACACGGTTTTTAGTTAATGCGCTATTTGGCAGAAGGCAATAAAGTCTCCCCCTGTTTTGGTTTTGGAGGACAATAATAGTTTGGTTCTTTAACTCATACTGACACATTGAAAAGAAACACCTTTTTCCGTAAGTGTGGGTGGTGTTTGTGCAGATGCCTGAATTGTAGTTTGTGTAATGTTTCTCCACATGTGTATCTTATGACGCTTTGAAATGGCTACTTGATATTCAAAAACCGATTGCTACCTTTAGAGGGCTGGGGAAAATAAAAAACAATAAATGACAATGTGAGAAAGACTATTGCTTCCAGATTTTGAAGTGTGTGGGAAAATACTGTTGCAGTGAAAATCTTGGTAATTTACTGCAAAAGCAGCCAATAGTTGATCAAAACCAAATTGTACAGGCTAATACATCTTTACCAGACTATTCACTTTTCGAACACCATGATATTGTACCTCACAATTTTTTCACTCACATGTTATTTGCTTTTCATTGTTATCTGCTCTTTTAAACACATCAAGCAAGTTATTTTTTATTTCAGGCATGGTACTGTAATATACCTGTCAGTAAGATTTCCGGTATTTCTGGGCAGTTCTTTGTATACATTTGCAATGATCAGTTTTTTATGGGTCATTGTGTCTATATAGCAGATTTATTTCAAGTTGAGTTCTTTCTGAAATGTTCATCTTCCCATAAGCTAACCTTACATTCCACTTGGGTCCCACATTTTGGATTACATTACATGTGACCAAAGTTTTTATACATTCCATGTCTATTTACTACATAGAAGACATTCACTCCTTTAATGTAGGAGAAAGGTAGCTATACCAAGTACTTAGGATTTGTTTGTGTTGCACTAAGCTGTAGGTTTGTATATGTATATACCATTTGTATTGACAAAACATTTAGTTGTGTCTTGCTTTTTGTTCCATGAATTACATAATACACTTATTGTGCATTGAATTGTTGTGTTGATTTGGTCACATTTGGATACATGTGCATCACTTAATTTGAAATCATTTTCTTTTATAGATATAAAGTAATGTTTTATAGTTTTTAGCTGCTTTTGCTAAGAACAGAACTGAAAAAATAAAGGAGTCAATTCCACCAAAGGATAGAACTTGTATAAATATTTATCCCCCCCCCCACATAAAAGCACCTATGTATGTATAAAGCAGGATTTCAGCACTGCACTTTCAATAATGGATTGAGTATTCAGACACGACGTCAATATGAAAACATCAGACTTCAAAGACATTCAGCAGACGGACTTACAACATTGCATGCAACAGCAGCAGAAAACTTTCTTCCCACACGGACACAGAACACTCTCCAGTATAGATTATATGTTGCCACACAAAAAAAGTCTTAATAAATTTATGAGTGAAATTCTATCAAGCATCTTTTCAACCACAATGGCATGCACCTAGAATCAGGTAAATGGACAAAACTAGAAAACTCACAAATATGTAAAAACTAAGCAACATGCCCCATTATTCATAATAACCAAGACAAGAAAATAACTTGTGTCCATAGTCAGTTGCGTAGATAATATGCTGCATATATACAATATAGGCTGGCTAAAATGAGCGATGGTGCATTGGTCTCTTAGTCTAAGCACACTGAGGAATTACTGTCTCACAGTTCTGGAGGTTCTTGAAGTCTGAAGTAAGCTGTTAGCAGGGCCACACTGCTAACACTCAATAATTGAGACTTTGCTCTTTCTAACTCCTGGGGACTGTCAGCTGTCCCTGGTCTGGCTTGGCTTGTAGATGTATATCACTCCATCATTGACTTCATCATCACACCTTGTTCTGTGTGTCTTCATTTTTCTTTTCTTATAAGGATACCAGTCATTGGAGTAAAATTGACCCAAATCTAGCATGACCTCATTTTAATGTAAAGACATCTGCCAAGAGCTTACTGCCCAATAAGGGTACAATTACAGGTAATGAGGGTTAGCACTTGGGCATATTTATTTGACGCACACTATGTAACCCACACTAAGGCT